TAGTAAATCGACTAAAATGTTAAAATAAAGGAATACAAGATTTAATGCAACTACGCACGGTCGTGAACTGTCTGATATAAATACCGCCGAAGTACTGGTGATAATTACTAATGATAAAATAGCTGCTTTCAAAAACCAATTAATTCGAAATAATCGATTCTTAAAGTGATCACAAGAAAAAAATGGGCAAAATAAAAATTTGAGTACCATCTTTCTTTTTATAGAAAATATTCAACAAATATTTTCATAAAATTTTTAAGAAACGTTGAGTATAACAAAATAAAACATCAAAATGACGTATATGTGGTCCTACAGAGATAAATCTTGAAAAATCAGGACAAAAGCAGGTTTTTCAGTCAAAAGCAGGAAAATCAGGACACCTTTAAAAAATCAGGACAAAAGCAGGTTTTTCAGTCAAAAGCAGGAAAATCAGGACACCTTTAAAAAATCAGGAAAAAATCAGGAAAGTACACACGCTGCGAGGCCTGTCTTTATTTTAAAAAATAAAGATAATGAAATAAAGAAATCTCTATTTTTTAAAAAGTAAAGAGAAAGTAAATCTTTATATTTATAAAATAAAGATAAAGATAATCTTTATTTGTAAAAATAAAGTTAAAATAAAGAATAAAGAATGACTTTTGTAAATTACAACAAAATAAATAAATCGCTGTTATTAACAACAATTGATGTCAATTAAAAACTATTTCGTACTGTAGGAATATTTTTTGTCCAAAATAAGCCGTAATACAAAGTCAGTAAAGTGCCAGAAAAAAGGTCATGATTGCATTCATAGTTTTAAAATTGGTGAATGATTAATGGAATTATTATTTTGCTATCGATATGATTCTTCTGAGACTGACTCTTATACTAATATCCGTTTGTGATGTTCTTTAAGACTTTTAAAATACGTATCATATATTGTTGCTTAGGGTGTGGGTGTGGTTGGGTGAGGGTTCTGTATGCAGCCACACCATAATCACCTCCACATTCACACCCTTCCATACCCACACCCACACTCACACCCTCCGGAAGAAATCCGAGATATAACATTTATACATGGCTTGCATGGTTGAAAAAAATATTGGAAGAAAGTAGTTAGTCAACTAAAGTCAAGCCATCTCCTAAAAGCAAAGTGATTTCGTCATTGAATATTGTTACCAACGCTTCATTTACGTCAATGTCAAAAATGATAATTATGTTGCAAAACGAATCAACCAAAAGACTATATTCTGTGCAGAACTTTAGCTGAATTAGAGTCGTAGCCATTTTTACAATAAAATCTAACAATTTTTAGAAAAATAATATAGTTAACTGAAAAGCTTATGAGTAAGATTTGATTTTCGTTTCAGTTATTACGAAGGAAGTTATTGAAATAACTAACATAGGATTTAGAAACGCAATTCATTGAAATAAGGAAAGGTATTAGCATATTGTCACTTATTACGTATTATATTTTGCATTTATTTTTCCAATTGATAAAAATAATCCTATGAAATAACTTTTAATTAATATGTATATATTATTGTTACAACATGATTTATTTATTTTGTTGAAATTTCCAAACAAATTATTTTTTATTCTTTATTTTAACTTTATTTTTTAAAATAAAGATTATCTTTATTCTTTATAAAATAAAGATAAAGTAAATTTTTACCTTTATTAATAAAGTAAAGACAAAGTAACATCCCTAATTTAGAATCCGTAGTAAGAAAGCGCGAAAACATAGAGCTAAGGCGAGTTTCAATTGTAGTTTGAAATTCGAAGAGTATTAATCGTATTGTAATGAATTTTTTGTGGAACTCACATATATTTTCGAAGAAAATAGTGAGTGTAAGTTTTAAGGTCAAGGTTTCGCGGCTCCTTCCCCCTCCCCTTACGGACAGGCACCCATTACAGACCATAGCAACGTAGGCCCCACCATTACAGACACTCCCCATTACAGGCCGTAGCCACTTTGCCAGAAAAAGAAAAAATTTCTGCTTCAAATATAGAGATAAAAAAGACAGCATTTTCTGATAATCGATTATCATTAGAAAAGAACTATTATATTTTGGAGAATTTAAATATTGAGTATTTTGTGATTAGTTTAATGAAATCAAAGAAGATATGTGAGTTCCATATTCAATCCCAAAGAGACTTCGCTAACAAGCTTTTTTTGAGTAAGTATAGCCTATCCGATTACTAAGTATCTAAAAAGGAAGTATTCAAGCGATTATTTACTGGCTTGCAGCTGTTTTTCACACGAGACGTTTATGGTTGAGTTTGCTGTGCATATAGAAACGATCATAGGTCCCAGTTTTTCGGAAGCAGTACGCGCCCTCACGTCGCGACGCTAATTTGAAAGGTCAGTTACACTGACGCAAATACTTTGGTAGAAGTAACCGTTGAATGATTAAAGATTTGAGTTCACTTTTTAGGTGACGTTTAACGCAATCTACCAGACCTATGGCAGTAATGATTCTTGATCTCATGTCGAATGAGCTAAAAAACTTCTCGAAAAGATCAGTTCATATAAAGAGCTCTTCAAGCAGTTCTTCAGATCTGATATGCACTGTCTGAACCAGAGATTGAATCGAACCCAGTTGGACTGCTTCCAGTTCGGTTTCGTTAGAATTAATTTTCTTAAGAGTAGTTCAGATTCAGTTCGATTCGACTTCATTGTTGAGAGAGCGACTCGGACTTGGCTCGTTTTAGTCTCTGGTTTGAGCAGTGCAGCTCAGATCAACATTTGCTGAAGAAGATTGGTGGATAGACCTATTTGTTCGGATGCATATATTGTTTTTCTAGAAAAGTAGAATTCTACTAGCGTTATCTCGGATACTCTCGGCATCACTCAATATGACACAGGCATCACATGAGATACCAAAGATATTTACAAGGATGCTATTAGCTTCTCAGGTTATGACAAGATCAGACTAGATGATGTCTGTGGTGTCCTAGGTAATACTATTATTGCCTTAGCTAAAGTCAATATCATGCCAACTGACATCAGTAGCATCCCCGTTTGAGTCTATAATCTTCAAGGTAATGCTCGTAGTATCCTGGTATTCGAGAAAAAACGATAAATCACTCCAAGTAGATGAGGTCCACTAACTCATTCGGTAAAACAGATAATGTTTCGATTTGAGCTATTCAAATAGATTAAACCACTTGTATGAGCAGGGTTCTTAGCTTCTTCGCTATTCTTTTATAAGATAGTCCCAATTCAAGACATAAATTATAATTGAGATAAAAGGTTTGGCTTCGGCTTTTCGTGAGTTCAGTACGGTTTTGAATTTTTCATTTATTTTCTAAGTGATATTATGCTTGAAGAGCACCATTTTATATTCGAACTCGATACGAGCAACTTACAATCATCTGAGTTTATTCTCATTGTTAAACACTGTCTTTGCGGATTACTATGAAGGAAATCTTAAATCACGTGGTGCCAAGGGAATTTAACTTAAAAATTAGAACAAGGCACAAGCACCGAATCTTTTCGTTTTTCGGTTGATTTATTTTATCCGTTATTGAGGAAAACTAATATACTGTACAAGTTTAAAACCCGGAGAGAATCTCAGATCTGAGATTGGGTATGACCAATGTTGAATTTGGATTCTTATTGATCAACTGAGAAATCAATGGCATTGTCTTAACGGAGAAGGCTACCATTTAAGGATGTGTGTAGATTGTGGTGTTGTTGTGTACACTATCTAGAAGACATTCAAACTGACGCATACAGACACTCACATCCACATCCGCATCATTTGATGGGATTGAAGTTCTATCAAAAAGATGCCAAATTCATAATTTTAATAGTATTTTGGACTGTCTACTTATGCTGAAATTGAATCCACATAATACGATGGATTACAAAAATAAAGACTAAAATGCATTACTTTGTTGATAGCTTATACATTTCAAAATTCCACTAAATTCTCAAGAAACTAATATTAAAATGTGAGTCTCAACATGCTCTTTGCGTTGATGTATGATTGGATGGACTTAGACAAGAAAATTACTAGTGAGTGAATGTGACCTGTTATGTGTCTCCCTAGGTTATGCTGTGATCCACGGACACAAAAACAACCAAAAATCAAATCATAGAAAAAATTTTAGATTTCAATTTTTGTTATTTTTAAGATATTGTCGATAACTTGTTCGATATAAATATGAATCATGAAACGTGTATACATATCATAACTAGTCCATTTAGACGATTTTCATCAAAAATATCTTAAAGATATCATGTATCACCAATAATACCGAAAAAGTTTCGCTCGTCTGTGACTCTTGTTATCGATAATACTGCATCGATTTGAAAATAAACTTTAATATTCAGGAAGAAATACCATTGTATCGGGCATGACCAGAAGTGTAGGTGTTCGTATGGGTGGGATGGGTGTGTGGATGTGGACGAATAAAATATGCACGCCCACATCAAAATTCAATCCTATACCCACACCCTAACACCGAAAATGTGAAATTTAGAGACGATAAAGCTACTGAAAAATGCGTTTTTTTGCCTAAAATATGGATGGGCGGTATTTTGATAATGTTACCACCATTTTTTGATAAAATTTACATATTCTAGTAGGCCGAGTGATGAGCACTAAAGAATCTACAAACCTTTTAAGTTTCATTCAATTTGAAGCTTTTTTTTGAATTGTAGTTGAATTCTGAAAGAATTACCCTGCTATTTTATGGATTTCGACACAATCGATTGTCAACAGTGAACTAGTTTGTTTCTACAGTCCAGTTCACATTTAAAGAACCATTTCAATGGTTTTTTTTTTATCAGAGTCCAACTGTTAAAAACAATCAGCTCTTGTCCAAAAAGCTTTCGAACATTTAATCAAATCGATACTGTTATTGAGCCGTCCTACTCCAGATAAATGTAACACTTAAAAAAGTTCTACAAAAGCAAAATATGGAAACACAGTCCTAAATTTGTCTTCCATTTTCTGTCTCTTATTTTTCATTCGATTCTGATTCTTTTAGTAGGATGAACGTATAAATGTTCATGTTGCTGGTTCCTTTAATAAATCTACTGAAGTACTAGTTTGTTTTTCAGTTCCTTCATTTGTTGTAGCACCATTGACTGTAATCGTATCATTATCGTATTTTACTGTAGGTGTTATACTTGATTTTAATAATAAATGACGCCGATAAAGAACAAAACCAATTATAACTGCTACAAGCAAAACACCAACAACAATACCAGCAATAAGACCTCCAAGATTCAATTTTCCTTTTGATGATTTATCTGTATCATCTATAGATGTTGGTTGAGATGGCAACGATTGATCTCCAATAATATAAAATAATCGTGCACCTTGCCAATTATTCCATTCACTAAACGGTAATGCTTCTGATATATTAAGTGTTAAATTAACTTCTTGTTTATTTGTATAATATTCGAGTACAGGTTGATCAATTTTTCCACATAAAGAATCAGTTCTATCACCATCAGTATATTTTATTGAATCAAAACATTCAGTAGCTGAGGATGGATTTATTGTTGAAGTATCACGTAAAGATAATCCAATTATATAAAGATAAATAGAATATATTTTACCATCATTATTTTTTGGTAATCGAATAGTTAGTGAACATTGTCGTTTTCCATTTTGATAAGTATTAGGATAATCAGGTGTTTCAATAAAACCTTTCTCATTTAAAGTTTCTGAATTAAAACAGAACTTGACTGTTGAATATTCCAATGATGGTCTCATTGGTAAACATTGATAATAAAATTGCGTTGAATCAGCTTGACTATTTTGACATGCATTTAATGGTGATAATAGTGGCACTGGATAAGTATAAGAACAAGTTTGTTGACCTGAACATTGTGCTTGTGGTTGTTTACTTGGATATAAACATGTATATTCATTTACATTACATTGACTAGGCTCTTTTGTAACAAAATGATATGATTGTAAAAAGACTAGACCATAATTAGGTGTACAAGCAAAATTAACAGTTTCACGTCCACTTGCTAAACCACAAATAATTCGACTTGTAATATTAAATGGTGGTGTTCGAATTGAAGGTGGAAGTGTTGGACGACATTTATCACGTTGAATAGATTCTAAATAAATTTCGAAGCCTTTATATTTTGTTGTATCTGTATTCACAATTAAATTTTTATATCGAATTTCAATTGTATTTGAACATGTTTCAAGTAAATAACGTGCATGACTATTACCACATAAACGTGTTACACCTGATTCGGGATCATCTATTTCAATGGATGGATCGTTTTCACTACATTGAGCACCTTGATCACGTAATGTTGGTCGTATTGGTAAATTTAATGTAAGAATATAAATTTTAAATGCTTTGTAACTTTGACTACCTAATGATTCACTTGTTTGTAATTGTAATTTACAGGTTCTAGATTCTGATGTATAATTTAGTGATGAAATTATTGCACCACCTTCAACGTTTTCAGATGAATCTGTTGATGGACATATATCACGTATAAGTTTTGGACGTGTTGGAATACATTGATATTCAACATATACATAATTTGATTTAGTGCCATTACATGATTTCATTGATTGTGCAGACGTAGATATATAACATAATGTTTTACCAGCACAAGTATTATAAATTTTAGTACGATCTTCAACACAATCATTCGAAGAAAAAGTACAATCACCAGTTTGACTTGCACCAAGTTGTACTTTATGTAAAATAAGACCATATCCAGGCTGATCACATTCTAATAATAAGGGTTGTTGACCACACGTAAATATTTGCTGATTAGATGTACTTACTGCACCAGTACCAAAAGGTGTTGTCCATAATGTTGTTGTTGCTATTGTTGTTGTTGCTGCTGCTGTTGCTATTGTTGTTGTTGTTGCTGCTGTTGTTGCTATTGTTGTTGTTGTTGCTGTTGTTGCTATTGTTGTTGTTGTTGCTGCTGTTGTTGCTGTTGTTGCTATTGTTGTTGTTGTTGTTGTTGTTGTTGCTGTTGTTGCTGCTGTTGTAAATCCATCCGATGTACATGTCCAATGAGTAGGTGCATCAATAGTTTGAGAATAGACTTTAAAACCACGATAACCAATTGCTTCATGAGTTGAAACAAAACTAAAGTCAACTATATTTGAACAACTAATTAAAACTAATTCAGGTTGTCGTAAACCACAAAGTACACGTCTATCTTTTCCATCATTAACAGTTAATGATGCTCTATCACATTCAGTATTATCAATCAGTCCGGCTTCCAAATGTAAATCAACTATATAGATCATCCATATTTTATTTGTTGGCGCTTCAAGTTTTTTTGAACAACTACGTAAAGTTGCAGGTAATATGGGATATTGTGGACTAACCATCATGACTCTATCGAGTGCAATGGTATTTGTTGTTGTTGATCCACATATATCAATTGGATTTTCATTATTTGGTAAACGTGTTGGTATACATTCATAATCTATATAAAGATAATCAGCATTTAGTAATCCACATTGAACAAGTAGTTTTGGAATATTATATTCAATAAAACATGATTGTGTACATGTTAAACCAAGTGAAGCTTCTTGGCGACAATGAGTTGATGATGGAATTTCACATTGACCTGTACCTGTTGTAGCATAAATTGATTTAATGATAGATAGAACATAATCAGAACCACGAGGACACCGTAAAGTTATTGCTGCTCCAAGACAAATATGCACTGAAAGTATTGGTGAAAGTTCTAAATTTTGTGCCCAAATTGGTATTTGTTCATTAATAGGTGTTGTTGTTGATGGTAATGGATTATCACAGGTTATTTCCATTGGTTTTGGAATCCATTCAAAATACAATTTAAAACCTTTATAAAAAAAGTTTGGTGATGATGTTGCTTTATATTGAATATCTAGAGTTGTAGCACAAATTGGAGCAAGAGCTAATTTACGTGTACCACAATAAACATAAACTACATGTGGAGCATTTATTACTAAATAATCATTGACACAAGTATCACGAATAGATGAATTCATTCGTTCTATATCATCTAAATTATTTGTATCATCATTTTTAGAAATAACTAAATCAGGTTCATTCGAATATTCTAAATAATAAGAATATTAATATTTAGAAAAGAAAAAATAAACAATTTTTATAATAAAACTCATACCATCTGAGCGACGTTGTTCACCACTTGATATAGCCATTTCATTAATCCAAATTTTTACTATTCTATCTGTTATACCCAAAAGTGTTCTTCTACATTCATTATTTGTTTGTTTATAAGTTGGAAAATTTGGACTAGTAACAATTCCATGTATACTTGCAATAGGATTATTTGTATCACAGATATCATATGTTGTTATATTTGATACAGTTCCAACTAATTTACTTGGCACACATTGGCTAGTTATATGTAAATAATCAGCATATTGATCTGAACAACGTGCAAGTCGTCGTCTCGTTGAATATGATATAAAACAAAAAGGTGCATCAGTTCGACATTGTGTTATTGTTGATAATGTTTCTTGTACACAATCACCTTGAACAAATCTACATTGATTTGATGATTGTTTTTTAACACCATAAAAAGCACCTAATATCATGAATGTATAACCAGATGGACAACTATAACTTAATGAACTACTAAAACAGATATCATGTTCTATTTCATCACGTGCAAACATGGTGGTTTCATTTGTTAAAGCTACTGCTGTTTGTGTTATAAATGGTGTTGTTGGAATAGTTGTTTGAGATGATGTTATTACAGGTTTACCACAAGCCCAATCAGATGGACGTGTTTGACTTTCAATATATAATTGAACACCAGAAGAAAAAAATGTTGTTTCATCATTAGCAGTATAACTTACATCAAGTTCATTTGAACAACTTGAATAAATTAAACTATAAGAACGTTCTTCACAAAAATCTGTACCTTCACTTTCACCATCTTCAATAAATGTTATTTTATTTGATTTACATTCAGTTAAAAAATCATTTAAACTAATGTCAAGCGCATAAAAATTCATAATATAACCTACATTAGTTTTCATTCGGTAAGTGCAATTCATTTTTGTAAAACTTGGATAACCATATGTTTGAAAACGACCACGACGATTAATTAGTACTGGAATTTTCGATCCATCTGCTGGACATGAAGTATTTGGTGAAACAAGTTCAGTATTTGTTGGTATACATTGATATTCAACATATTGATAAACAGCAGTTCTACCACCACATGATGAAACAACTTGGTTTCCTGGATAGAAAAACGTACAACTTTGACGACAGGTAAATGTTGAAGTTGTTGTAATAACACAATGTTTCGATGCATCATGTTGTTCACATTGATCAGATTGAGTAACACCAAATATATTTGTAGTAATAATTACACCATAATTATCTGGACATACAATGTTAAATGATTGACCTACCAAAAGAACAATTTAGAATTTCAGTTTTTTTCGTTTGTTTTCTTTTTGTTATTCAATAAATAAAATGATTTACCCCGACAAATTTGAAAACTTCGAACAGGTGATGCAATACCAAGTAAAACATAAGCAGGCATAGCTGTAGTTTGACTTGGATTTATAGTTGTTACTGTTGGTGGTGTAGATAGTACAGGTGTTACTGTTCCATCTATATTTGGACAATTATCATTTGAAGGTCGATCAACTATTTCGAAATACATTCTCATTCCACGATAGATTGATAATTGTGTTGTAACATAATATTGAATAATAATTGTCGATGAACATAAATATGGATAAGCATATCGCACTCGACCACAATGTCGATATGTTTGGACACTATCAACAACATAGACATGATCTTTAGCACAAGTTCCCAACATTGAACCAATGTATAGGTCAGTTAACCATAGACGAATTGTTTTATGATTTGGCACACGTATTGCACGAAAACATTCGCTTGTTGTTATTTGAAATGGTGTTGAATACCCGGGACTTCGTATTATTCCATGATCACTTGTTATTTCTGTACTATTTTGACAAACATTATATTCTTTTGTTGAATCATCCATTGATATGGGTACACACTCATATTCAACATGAATGTAACTACTAAATTGATCATTACATTGCGTTAGCTTTTTTCTTCCTGCATACATGCTACATTGAAGAGTATCTGTTGCACATGTTACTATATTCATTGCATCAGCAATACAATCACCTGGTGTATAGCTACATGAACCAGCTATTTGTGTAACACCGTAAAAAGCACTTCTAACGATAGGAACATAATTCTGTTGACAACGAACACTAGTTGTTGATGGTACACACGAATCTGCTGCATTCATTGGTCTAACCATTTGTCCATTAGTGAAAGTAATGTTTTGTAACATGTACAAAATAAGCAATATAAATTTAGACATCATTTTGTCAAAACTACATTTGCTATACTCTTATGCGTAAATTAAAGTGGTAGCATCATAAGACACCAGTAATAAAAACTGATAGTAATAGAAACAAAATAACTACTGTCGTCAGTTTTTATTTGCTTTAATTTTAAAGATAAGGGCTACAAAAAAAACCAAGAAACGACGCAGTTTCTATCTATAGGAATACCATTTTTGCATCTTCTTACACAATCAGTTATAAAAACATTTTTTAATTTTTTTGTAATGTTCTTGTTATCTGTGTAATGTAAGTAAGACTCTAGTTCAATATTACTCGATCTAACTTTTGGTTCTATTGATTCTTCTCTTTTTCTAGGTAAGCATACACGAAAAATCATTAAAGCCAATACATTGACGTCAATGTACTGCGACGATAAGAAAATTAGCTATGATCAAAATGAAAAAAAAACACTTGACTATAGTTCAGTGAAATTTAATTCTTCAAATTAAACTTCAAAATAAAGAAAAAAACTCAGCAAATTATATAATAAATCTTATGATCGGTGCACTTTACACAAATAACATTTTTATTGGTGTTGGCGGGTTAAGATGTGTGGATGTGAATGCCGGTGTGCTTCTGGGTGTGCGTGGGTGCGAGTATGGCTGTCGTTGTGTTATTACTCACATCCTACTCTGATTAGAATCATTAAAAATAATGTCGACTATGCACAGTTTTGACGAAACAGTGACCAAATATTGAATGGAAAAATTTCGATGTTGAATACCACAATCACTTTAATAGCATATTATGTATCATATATTCTAGTTATAGTCCAGAAATGAAGATCTTTAATTCAATAAAACGCTTGTTTTCATGTTGAATTTCAAGTATCAACTATGCTTATATAAAATCAATACTCAAAATTTCTTATTAGATGAGCAGAAACTGAAAAATCACTGTACTCTCAACATACCTCACGAGAGAGAGGACAAAATACTCAGTATATGTACTCCCATTATTAACACAAATCTAGAGACTTCTACTGCATTTGAGAAGTTATTTTATCGATTTTTATTTGAGATTTACTATGAATATGAATACTTAAACACATTTTTAAATTTTCGTATCGATTCACAAATTTTAAAAATATGATCTATAATTTTGAATTTGAATAAATTATTTTTTCGATTAGTCGAATATGATCGTTTAGAGTCTTTGGTCACGCCATCTTGAGGTTTTATTTATGAAATAGTTTTCTCTACTCGAATGAGAAATTAACCAAAATTATTTCGAAGATTTTTAATAATTCTTAAAAGAATTAAAAGAATTTCAAAAAGCTTCATTCTTCATTTCAATTCGACATTGGTGATTTTTTTGAATAACAAAAAGAATATTGAAATGCAAATAATCAGACCGTTCGTTGAAACTCATTCTACAAAGAGAAAGTGGAAAGATCATAAAACCTTTGCCATATTATACAGCAGAGATGCCGAGATTTTCTCAACCCATTCAAACGCGTATAGGTGTGGGCGTCGGTGTTCTTCTTCTTTTCGTTACTATCCACATCTCACCCTCACATTCTTCAATTCGTTATGCATTCGTTTTTTATTTACGAGAATTATTCCAGGTTTAGAATGCTTCAATTGAAATGGAAAAATCGAAAGAATAAAATGCGTCATTTTCTAGGGTGTGGTTATCGTTGAAGAGAAGGTCCATACCCTCAATCACGCCTATACTCATATCTATTCGATCAAATTTACATTCCTCCTCGTGTATCTGATGATTTGCAGTCAATATTTTCCTGAATATTATTTTCCGGATAATTGACGGAATATTCTTTGTAATGCAATGATCGCGTTGAATGAGCTATCGAAAAAAAATGGCGTGTCATTCATTTAATAGTTCAAGATACATTAATTTGCCATGTTTTCCAAATCGAAACGAATTTAACTATTAACCGAGTTACGCTGATATGGTCCTCCTGCTCTGAAGTGTGACGCACTATTGATCTGTCCGACAACGCGAATAAAACTGTCTATGTGGGCGTGGATATATGGTTTTGACGTCGTTTTGTTGGTCTTGTTTTAATGTAAATTATATCGATACGCACTTCAAAGAACACGAAACTGCTTTTCATACTATTTTCTCTGATGATATCTTTGTTGGTTGCTCTCTTCACTACCCAAACGTGAATCGACCAAAGCATTATTGTCTTCGTACAATAGAAGTCGACTGAAAGAGTTTATCAGAAAATAATTTATCAAATATTGGCAATAAACAACTAAAAAAAAATGTGTAACATGCACAGATGGTGTCCAGAAAGATTAAAAAAACTCGCTATTTCATGCAGAATAAATATTGTTTGTCTGCTTCATTCTTATCTCTCACTGTCTTCTCCTTTGTCATCATAAGCAATGTTACTGTAACAATCGTATCAGTTTATATCTTGTCAGATGTAGCAAAAAAAAAAAAGAATGAATACTTTCGCTCTATACTCTTCATTGCAATTGATAAACTGTTGAAGGTGACTTTTATTATAGGATTTGCAGTACAAATATAATGAAGAATAATCGAATACACAATATGAGAAATACTGAAATGAATTCTTCGCAATTACAATCGAACATCCGAATCAAGAAAGCCGTCCATCAGGCAAGTAGTAGTCAAAACTTACTCACCGAAGTGGAAATATTTTTTCTGTATTCTAGTGGGTGATAGAAAATAATCGTCAATATCCGAACAATAAGTGAGTATTTGAACTCGTCCTCGAACAAAAAAGGTTTCTTTTTCCAATTCATTTTTTCATCACCTAAGACGCTGTGTTAAAAGAAAAAAAAATACACCACAAGATGCAGCATTAGAAGCTCTACAGTTTATCCAGAACAGCTCATTCTATAGTTGCACTTTTTTCTCAAAATGAAGGAAAGTCTGTGCGACTACTTTTTGACGCTGTGAACAAGATCATGTTTAGGTACACGATGAATTCTTTCTGTTATTATTTTGGTTAAAGAGTTGCAATTGAAACTTATAATCGATGACCGAACAATGGAATGAAGTTAAAAAGAATGATGCATAAATTGCTGTCATAAGAAAAAGAACTCAATGTGTACCAAAAATTATTTTTTTCTAAATGTCAAAAAATTAGTGGCTCAGAATTGTGTCCATTATCAAGATGAAAAGTGCAATTATCAAATAAGCTGTCCCTTTGTAGATTATAGAGCGTTTTCACTCTGAATCTTGTGACGCATTTGGGTTTTTTTAAACACAGAGCATTTGGTGACGAAAAAACGAATTGAAAAAGAAACTCTGTTGTCCAGACGAGAGTATCACGGAAATGAGACATCTTTGTATGCGTCGAGGAAAATTAACACAATAAGCCAGTTAACCGAGCCTCATATATATATATATGTGGCTTAATTTGGGCTCTATTCATGGATATGTACATGAAGATATAATAATAAAATATAGAGGAGAACGAGCTATTAGAAAAGGAGCTTTTTTTGTTCGAGGAAGACTGTTTATTTTATTCTATTATTGATTTGCATGTTGTAGAATCGAAGATTATGGTCAAATACATTTCACGCAGAATGAACGTAAATCATGGGTAAGTTTAAAGTCTTCTCGTTGGGGATATTGATCTAATTCAATTTAGTACATACGTTATCCATTCAATCCGCCCAATGCAGTTCAGCTAGCAACATCTAAAGAGATTCGCCAACAGACGATACGTACTGAGGCTAATGAAGAAGAAGATAATCAATCAAGTTTCCATGCGATTGAAAAACTGCCAGCTAGCCATTCTATTATTCCTATTGGATCCGTACCACGAGAACCAGCTAAGCATCTTCTTGAATTGTTGCGTGATAAATGGGAACTGTCTCCGCCTGAACTGATAATCTCAGTTGTAGGCGGCGCCAAGATCTTCAATTTGGCAGAAAGAAGCCGTGCTATTCTTCAAAAGGGTCTTGTCTCGGCTGCAGTCACTACTGGTAAGAACCAAGATTTATATTGTATTCTTCTCTATTTTGAAACAGATGCCTGGGTGTTTACTGGAGGAACGTATGCTGGAGTTATGAAAGATGTGGGTGATGCATTCGAAAAATGGACATACAAGAGTAGTAGTATGGATAAGACTCATACTCGAGTTCCAGTTATTGGAATTGCAAGTTGGTATTATACAACGAGTAAGAGAAAATAAACATGTCATTTGCTCATGAATTTTTTCATTCTTCAAAAACTAGATTATAAACAACTCATTCAAAAACGATCAATAGAATCGAATAGTAAAAGAGTATGTCTATGCTTTTTATAAGTTACTTGAAAAGTGGAATTATTGTCTAGAATTCGACATCTGTATCGATGGATGACATAGAAATTAATCGTGAGAAACTCTATCGCAATGGTGTACCACAAGATAACCCTCAATCATATCCTCTCGATCCAAATCATACTCACTTTATTCTTCTAGACGATAGATGTGGTGCAGGCGATGAGAAATGGAGGAAAAAACGATATAGTGTTCGAGTCGACCTCACTATTCAGTTACGGGCTGAAATTGAACGAGAAGCCCGTTATAGTTCACATTATAGACAAAGTAATTGACACGATATGGTATTTTGCTTAGTCATTATATTTTGTTCGATAGACTACAACACACCGATTATTCAAATATTGATTGGAGGTGGTCGTTCATCCCTTCTAACAGTGATTGAAGCAGTAACTCATGAAACACCAGTCATTGTCGTTGAAGTACGTGCTCAATGTAAAGACAATAGTGATGAGAATAACATGCATTCTACCTTTCACAGGGCACGGGAAGAGCAGCCGATTTTATTTCGAAAGCATATAATATATTATATCATAATCAAACAACATTTGCTCAACCAACAAACAATAATTCTGCTCTGTAATATTGAAGTCTAATTCTTAAAATACTTTATTTGTATTTTAGAGAACAACTAATAGGAAGAGA